AATATTGCTTTCAGCTTCTAGAATATTGTCTACAACTTCTGGAGTTGTGTTTACAGCTTCCGGAATATTGCTTTCAGCTTCTGGAATACTGTTTTCAGCTTCTGGAATATTGTCTACAGCTTCTGGAGCTGTGTTTACAGTTTCCAGAATATTGCTTTCAACTTCTGGAACATTGTTTTCAGCTTCTGGAATATTGTCTACAGCTTCTGAAACACTGTTTACAGCTTCTACCTCGTTATTTGTTGTGCTACCTGTCTCATCCATTTTTCGCTTGTGAATCGAGTGAATGTAATTGTTAAAGCGTCATATCTTCTTTGCTCTGTGATAAGAGAATGGTAAGCAAACAATATGACTTCAGTTCTCATATAGCTAGAGAGATTTTATATATTATCGCATGCCGCATAACTGAAATTTCGTGGACTTTTTTTTTTCTTTCTTATATTATAAAAAGTAAATTTACACAATCGCAAATGAAATAGTTAAGAAGAAACCCTCAGAACTATTATATTTTATTAAAACTTCGCAATTCTACCTTTGCGCGTTCGTTTGTTGTGTTAGCTAACTCATTATTTGTTTTTTTTAATTTTATCTTGTATTCGTTCCAAAGATTCACAATAGATATTAGTATAAAACAAAAAAAGATGGACTTTATCATGATTCGTCTATGCCTTTACTAATAGACAGAGTGTGGGTGCGAATAGATGAGTTTCGTCAATAGAGGTATAAGACAATCTTATATCTATCTTATTCATATTCTCACACATTTAAATTCTCTTACTCATTCTTATCAATCTTCGACGTAATAGATGTATATGGAGATAAATTAAATTTTACTTCACACACACTCACCAATGAAACTAAATTATGTTATTATAAAAAACGAACCTATGATTAATGATAAATAATGTAATTCATCGAATTTCTATAAAAAGAAAATTATTCGATATGAACAGAATTTTTAGGAACTTCATAATAAATAAACTAGAGATATATCTGACCAAAAGATTTTTTTTATAAATATTTTCGTACCGAATAAATGTTGATGAGGGTTTTTTTCATTAAAAAAATAAATAATTAAATATTTGCCCTGATGACGAAAAGATGATTTACAAATATAAGTAGTAAAAACAAAACAAAAAAAATTAGAAACTCAAT